ATATACGTATATATATATATATATATGCTATATATATATATATATATGCGTTTGGCAATATGCAGTCCAGGATTGAAAGGCCTGATGGAGGAGCATCCTAATGTAACATCACTAACAAGGGAATCCTACACTGATAGTCCGAGCGGTCTGTATGTGTGTTTGAGCATTATTACAGTTCTCACTGCGTAAAATTATTATAAAAAGTATCTATTAAATTCATCAAAAGAATACTATTGCAGTGATGCATAGGGTATCGTTCACGGCATTTGCTGTGTGTTCAGTTATATATATGTTTTTTGCAACGGGTTTATTTCATTATTCCGGTAAACGTCGCACATCCTCGCTCGTAAGTTATTTGGCTTGATACAGTGTAAAATGCAGGTGTTTAGCCTGGTATAATTCCTGGGCCTCTGTTTCTTCTGGTTACCAAAAAATCCGACATGTGTTTTTCTCAGAACATGCTTGTTATTCTGGTACATTTTATCTCGCTTAGAGCTGATTAATAACAGCTATATATGCTCGAAAGACCGGCCATAACTTACATCCGACGTGCGGGGACATCCTGATAACATCACTCACGCGCGATACCATACTGATAGCCCGAGTAGTCTTGTTATATGTGACCCCCTTCCTCTTTTCTTTTTTGCAACGTCCCTGTCTAGACTGAAGAATACGCTCGATTTTCCCGCATTTTATACCTCTTTTAGGTATAAATTTGTGGTGCCAAGAATTTGTTGAGTGAGACAGTTTTCTTGTGCAGCAAACTGAAGATGTGCTGGAGAGCTTCCTTTGAGCAAATCCGCACTGTTTTCAACTAAGTTTTTTCAATTGGTAGCAGGTTGGTTCCAGTCAAGAGTCGCTCGTCGGGATTTTTAGTGCAACTACCCTTCGCTTCCGGCACTCCTATTTGGACTGATTCCGCTTGTTACTTTAAGGAACAGCGGACGAGTTTCCAGATTTGCGTGCGGACTACTAATAGACTGTGTGTGTGTGTGTATTGCAGGGCGAGAAGTCGTTCCAGTACAAAGTGCTGATGTGTTCCACCTCAGCCATCTCTTTGCTGCTGGCTTCCTATTTCTTCTACCGTCATAATACGTTCTGTGAACCGGGAGTGTACACGCTATTTGCCATCTCGGAATACGCTATTGTGTTATCAAATGTACTCTTTCACTGCACCTTGGCATTCGATTTTCATGGCAAGCACTTTGTGCTGGGCTGCTCCGGGCCCGGTGGCTTTCATTACCAACCAATTCTACCCGTTTTTGACGCTAACAAACGCTCCACATAAGCATTAACTCATCAGCTAACGTATGTTTAATTTATATTTTTTGTTAAATTTTCCCTTTTTCTGGGTCAGTTCTGCACTGTTTTTGGGTGAAGTTTTGTCTGCTCTACTGAATTCTGCACTTCAGCTACGTTTTTCTGTCTTTTGCTGAATTTTATTGCTTTTGACTCAATTTTCTGTACATGGTCTTCGCAAGTGGGTTATTTTCTCTTGCGCCTTACTCTTCTTTTCCCTTTCGCTCTTCTTCCTTATTTCTTCTCAAGCAGAAGGAAATGGTCACCCTTCTGCAGTTTCGCCAGTTAAATTTATTGTTTTATTAATCTAATTCAGTCCG